CTTTTTAAATACGAACAAATATTTGTGTAAATTTAATTTATTGTGAAACAAAAAAAGAATTTTAATATATAATTGAAAACGTGCGACAGTTGCGACAAACAGTTCGAGTATCAGTATTTATCAGACACCAATTAGTATCTTGATTGCTACTTATCGATACAATAAAAAAAAACAAAAGCATTCGATGAACATTAATTTAAAAAAATAAGTCTCTCAAAGGTTGAAAAACGGATGGTAACGATGAATCGATACAATCAGATTGAAGTTACTAATTGCTCCGATGAGACGCTACGTTGCACACAGCACCAATCAGCAATCACATACACAATGGAAACTCGTCATTTGCTCCAGCGACACAAAATGTGTTACGTTTGCAAAAAAAAATTTTTTCTTGTTTTCCTAGTAACAAGAGTGTCACATTCACATCAGTTTGGCTATGCTAATTTTTTTTAATGAAATTTCAAATTACACATCAATAAATCAAATTTTTGAAACAAGAATATAAAAAAAATGAAAAACAAAATTCTTCTAAATTATAGAAAGAGTGACATTTAAAAAAAACTCATCGGAATAAACACTTTCTTTCTGTACTTGGTGCACAATGTAATATTAAATGCAGAGAAATTCTAAACGCTTTTATATATACATACATACAATGTGTGTCACACAATTTGACGTTATAGTTGTAGGTTGTCTGCGGTAACTCGAATTCAAAGCTTGACTGTCACGTAAATTCAGTTTTAGAAGTAGCTTCTGGAATTCTTGGCATTTCCAAGGACATCTTGTTATCCCCCCCTCTTCCCTTCTCACCCCGCATAAACCATACGCGCGTATACATGTTTTCTTGTATGAAATGTTCCCTCCCGAGAATACAACCTCTTAATTATGAAACTGTGTGTCTCTCGCGCGCAATAATTAATAGCCACCTTGGTGCGCGATCTTAAATACCCCAATCTGCTCTCAACTCACATGGAATGCAAACACATCCCCGAAAACCTCTCTCTCTCTCTCTCTCTCTCTCTCTCTCTTCAAAGAGCGCCCAGCGCAAGAACCTTCGAGATAAGATACACGCCACAGCCACCTGCGATATTATCGCACACGGCACTAAAATTATACAGGATTATGGAAATAGTCTTGTCCTTATATAAAATATATGATAGTTATTGAATCAAGTGAAACTTGAGAGAGATATACAATCACTTTTAATTATTAAATTTACTGCGGTAATTGGACAAAGTAATTAAAAAAAAATATTAAAATAACTGTAAACTGTCTTTTACTATGCTCATAATAAATCTGACTGAAATTTACTTATGCTACTAATAATGGAGTGATAGAAAGTCACAGAATAAGAATTTAAATACTGTTCGTCTGACTAAAATCGTCATTTACTACTGAAGCATAGAATTGGATTTTAAATTTTTGTCTGTCTAAAATTGGCTGTTACTACTGACAGTAGAATTACGGAATAATTAAACCTGTCTTGTCTGACTGGAAAAGGTTTTTACTACTGTTTTTCAGGGTTATAAGAATTGAAATTTTTTACACTGACTTAAATCGTACTTTACTACTGTAAATTTTCTATAATGAATTCTCATAATCTACAATTACATAAAAAATACATTCTCTATAAGGAAGTAAAAAGCATCAATTTTAATATTGAAAATTTTCACCTTTCATGTGTGAATTAAAAAAAAAAAAAACTTGCTCAAATTTTGTTTGAAAATCACGTTATATTCACGCTTAATAAATTGCATATTTTTTTATAATACAAACAAAAATCTATATAGACTAGTCAATGAAACGCTGGCACACGCGGAAATGTTTAACACGATTTTGCGACCTTTTAACGTAGATTGATTCCAATTGAGAAATGCTATTCAAACGTAATTCGGGTGAAGTAAATGGGCGAGTAGCGTGTGTGTGTGTGTGTGTCAAAGTGAATCTACAAAAAGCAATGTAAAGCGAATGACCGCTGAGCAAATATTTGATATCAGTTATACATCATTTCAAATCAGAATTGTCTGACATTATAGCAAAAAGATTTTTTTTTCCTCAATTTGAAATATTTTTCTCCATAAACCATTATTCAAAAAAATTTTATAATTCTGATTTGGAAAATGATTGGACCATTTTTTTCGATCAATTTTCTCAAATGAAATTAAATATATAGTTTCTGTAAAATTTTTTAAACTTATATATATATTTTTTTAAAGTCTCGAGAGTGCTGACTTTCGTTCAGGATTTTCGTTTAAAAATTGAAAGCACGTTTTATAAAAGGATTAAATACGAGAAGAGGGGTAGAGGATTGGAGGGGGAGAGGGAATCTACTCCCGCGACGAAATCAGTGAGTTTTCAAGTGGAAGAGCAAGGCTCCAAGAGAGCCAGAAGGCCATAGGCTTGGCGACGAGAGATTTAATCATTTAATGGAGTTAAACGTACCGTTACAACCGTATGAAACCTTGATAGAAGGAATATAGCATCTTCAGCATTGTTATTTTTTCAAAATTTATAATATCTCGGAACAATTCGCATGCTTTCATATATTCTATTCCATCAAAGTACAAATAATAATACCTAATAATAATAATAATAAATTAATGGCATGTAACAAAATTTTTAAAAAAACTATCATCTTTTTTTCATCAACTGATGCTTGCGTACATATATATATATATTTTTTTTTTAACGAACTGTTTTGTTGTTTCTGTATATTTACTTAAGGAATTTTAAAATTGGTTTTTCTCTCAGCAAATGTTTTTTTTTCTCACAAAAGCCAAAGAAGTTTTTTTTTTCTTCTATGGTAAATATTTATGAGCGGAATGTAAATTGTCTCCCGAGTAAAGTTGCGGAGCTTTTGCAAGAAACGTAACTGCTATTTAGATCAACATGTTACGTAAGTAAGGGTCCGTATTTCGTAACCGAGAATAGTTATACAAACAGGATGCAAACAAAAAAACAACTCTAAATCGCAACATTTCAAATACACTCGAGATGGAATTAATAATTCACGATGTAATTAATATCCTTCGAAAACAATAAAATTGCTATTTATAAAAAATAGTTGCAAATTCCAAATAATTTTTTAAACGAAACAATAACAATAGTTAATAAAAGTAAAATTAATTATTTATTAATTATGAATTATTATTTAAATTATTAGTTTAGTATCATTAGTGGAAAATTAATAAAATGGGTTGAGAGAGGAATGTAGGTATGTATAATTATACATATAAGGAAGAAAATTTTTTTGGTCAAGTATTTAGTTGGTAAGAATTTAATGAGTATAACAAAAACAGAGGAAGCTCTCTTGAGTCAAGTGGATGAAGTTTGAATTACATTTCGTGTTGCGCGGGAAATATATGTAGTGTATACAGAGGCTGAGATAATTCCACAGTAAAAGGGTCGAGAGTGTCGCTTGTCGTTACAATGATACGAACCACTCTACAGGCCACTTCATTATCAGATATCTATCGATGCAAACCTAGGTGTATATATATTTATGGCACCCTACTGGCAAAAGTTCATTGCCATCCATATAAAATACACACTATGAATTATCATTTTCTATATATATATATATTTATAATGAACGGATAATTTCCTAGGGTGATTATCAAAATTATTAATGAGTGTATAAAGTTCCATAATTACTTTTACTTCAACACATCACATTATAAAATGACATAATTAAACTCACATCCCATCAAAACTTGAAAATTCAATTACACCGGTTTGTGTCATGGATAGTTAACGATCATCGTGTTTGATTCAGGAAATATTTCTTTCGAATTTAAAAAACTATAACAAAAGTAATTTTGTCTATGTTGGCTGATAATTTTTTTTATAATTTTGTTTCCCCCATGTCGGATGACGTATTCGACAGGAAGAGTGGGGGAAAAAGGGGAACAATGTTTCGCCCCATAGAAACACGTTTCAACGTGGAGTTCCCGCTAGCCTATATTGTCGTAATAAATCTAGCAACGCGGTCTGACATTAACCCCGCGCGACTACCGCTTGTACTTCCGACACCAGGCAACCTCCACATCCGATAAAATGTTACCAACCCGTTTCATAAACTTCGAGGTTATTATTTATCCGAATTTAATAAACTTCTAAAACGAATCCTATTACACGACTTGAAAAGAATCTAAAGAAAAAAAATCCTTTTTATTTTCTTACGTATAAGAAAATAATAATCAAAAATTATAGTCTGCTAATTTATATTAATTTTTTCTGTAAATGTTGCAACAAATCATCAAAGTAAATCCCATTACTAACCTTGGAGATGTAAATCTCAAGGAGGACCAACATAATGAAATGATTTTAAGAGCTCACTCACCTGAAACAAAAAAATAATTTCCGTTAGATACTCAAACTGAAGAATAAGACAATATATTGTTACACAGAAAAAAGTTTTTTCTAGGTTTATTATTGTATATAAAACCTCGTTTAAATAAAAAATTAGTTCATGGATTGGCGAAACGTATGGGAATTTGCCTATGTAGGTAGAAAAAAGTACCAAAAAATAAAACTTTGAGTGGCTGAAGAAAATTCGACTGTAGTGTGTGCAAATATTTCTGTTTTTTTTCAGCTACCAGCTACCGAATTTGAAAGCAAACGGTATTATTCAATCGATAGGGAATATTGCATCCAATGCACACTCGTCAAGACCGAGGAGAAATTTCAATTTCCCTTTTTACCCCCACCCTCTCTCTCTTTCTCTCTCCGCGTCTCTCGAATCGTACACAAATAATCCGCTTTACAAACTTGAGTTTTTCCCGTTATAAATATTTACCCAATTTTCAAAGAAAGAATCTCCCGAAAAGAATTTTTTTTCTCTTTTCGAAACAAAACACTTTCTGAGTTTCAAAAATTCAAAACTGATTTTGTACTTTATCGAGTATAACTCATTTCATAGAAAAGTATATATATTTCAATTTTTTATATAAAAGAAGAATAATATTTAACAAAAAATGTTTTGTTTTGTTTTGTTTTAGAGCCATGACAGCTGGCAAGGCCATGACAGTGACCAGGTAAAAATTCACATTTTTTCGATGTATAAATGAATGTGTCACGCTTTGCATTTTACGCTTTTTTTATATTATATTTATTTTATTTTAATAAATTACCTGCATGCTAAAACACTTTTTTTCCATTAACCTATTGCATGTATTTTTATATAATAATGCAGAAAAAAGGCAAATTGTAAAAATAATAAAGATCCACATTTTATAACCTTTCTCATAAAACTCGATAAATATAAAGTGACAATTCTTTTTTTTATAACCCTATATGGGTGTTTTAAATACAAATACTTTTTCTGTTATCTTTTGAGAATAAAAGTTTTTTAAAATTTTATTTTTTTAAAATATTAATCCTAGAAAATTAATTAATCCAATTATGAAAAGAACAAATACATGTGAAAGTTTATCTCGAAAATTTAAAACTTGGAAATTTTTTATCCACTTGGCTCATTGTAGCTCGGATGCTGTTGGTCCATGCATTTTTTGTAGAGCACTATCTTGGAATAACTTTAAGATTCCTAAGATTTTATCTCGTACATTTAAAATTTGGAATATTTTTTGACATAAATATTGGCGCCTTGTAAATCGATTTGTTTGTTAAATGCGAGGATTGAAGAACGACGGGGCATATATCAGATGAGATTGGCAGAATAGGAAACTCGAAAGCGGGGAAGGGGAATAAATACAATGTAGAGATGGGTAAAGCAATTTGCGTGACATTGATGCATGTGATCCGCTCTTATACCATCTGGTTGCACGGCTTCACCATACCATTGCACTCCGTTATTACGCGCGTCACTATTTAATGATGTTATCACTCCGATAAAAAATAGTGAAAATTTCTACTCCTTGGGTTCTATTGTGTAATTTTACTTTATAATAATAATAATTGGAGAACAAAAAAAAGAAAGCAATCGATCCTGGCTTATCGTCCTCTCATTTTCTTCTCTGAAAGCTACGAAAATCCTAAGATTGAGAACAGATTCTCGTATATAGAGCAATAATAAGAAGAGCGCAGAGAGGTGGTTTGTTGTCTAAGGTGCCAAATCAACTTCCACCTCTCTGTCGACAGTCTCTGATAATCCATTGAAGATGAGATTGTCAGAAATCGTTGTCGACACGAGGGAGGAGCAGCACTTATAAGAGGGCGCACGTAATTTCAATGAAATTTAGTAACACACCGCTTAATCGAATTTATGTTCTCTCAAACAAAACGAAATCTTATATATAGTTCAATTTTATCAGAAAAAAATTAAAATTATTTTTATCAAAAAAGTCTCAGCAAAAATTTTAATTATTTTTAATTAATACAAAATTTTAAAAAATGTATCACAAAAGATTATATAAAAACCTACAATAAAATAAAACAAAATTTTCTTCCTCTTATTCTATTATTTTTTCTATATAAGAAATATTTTGTTCTGGATGCTTTTTTTTGCAACTTTCGTCAATATTTCAACTCTTTTGGTGCATTTTCGTTTTATAAGCACCTAGGTTCACCAACAAAGAAAACCATTCACTTTGTCCGCGCTTTCTCTCTCTCTCTCTCTCTCTCTCTATACGACTCATAGCGCTCGAGGCTTTCGTGAGAAACCCTTTCGGGAAATCTTGCCACGCGAATCCCTAATAATCCCTCTGAAAAGGGAACAGACGAAGACGAAAATCGCGGGCTAAGCGAGCGAACGAGCAAAATCTCTTCAGCGATTCGCAAGGGAGCACAATATTGTCCGTCTTCTCTCCCTCAATTCTCAACAATGGCATTTCTGGTGTATTTTACGACAAGTAACACACACACATACCTACTTCTATCCCAGTAGAAGGGTTTGATATTTCAACAAAATGTTGGCGATATTTTTTTTCTTCTCTGTAATTACACAACAACAAAATTTCAAAAATGTAATGAATTATATTGAACTTTCTGAAAGTAATTGAAATTATGGAAATTTTCACAAAATTAAATCTACATTTCTTAATAATATACATTCATAGTGTTGGAAAATTTACGTTTTCTCTCAAAGCTTGGCTCAATCAGTTTCCACTGGTCTCGAGTCCTGCAAATCCTTTTGACTTTTCGTTTTTAGAAATTCATACTTCAAACTTTAAAGAAGCGCAATAGCTAAAGTATTTGTCTGGAAACTGAAACGAGTCTCATTTCTTTTCGACTACATTACGTAAATGAATTCTTCCCTCCTCTCTCTCTCTCTATCTCTACGTTTTCTCATTCTCTAATTTAATACAACATGACATAGTATTATAATATAATAAGAAAATTCCATTTCCACCTCATTTTCGGTGCTATACTCATTTAAAAGCCTGATTGTAATTTGAAAACAGAAAAAAAGTTAAAAAACTTGTTGAAATTCCACCAGGATTTATAAAGATCGTCGAGTCTCGCTGATGACTTCGTTTCCTTTCACGCAGAATATTCTTGTTCCTTAACAAGAATTTATATATATATTATATACAATATATCTATTATGTATAACTGAAATGTTCAATCAATTGGAATAACAAGTTTCGTAAATTTATGCTACGTTAAGAAATTAATTTTTTTACTTCAGGAACTTATAATAATTTCTCGCATATATAGGAATTCATTTTTCAATTCTTCTTTTCTTTTTTTCTTAATATATAATATTACTCCTTAATTTCTTTTTATAATATAATAAATAACAATTAAACTAATTACAGTAATTAAAAAAAAGAATTATCCTACAAAACTATTTTTAGAATGTTTCAATTAAAACGGATTGCAGCATTCGGCCGTGCATAACAGGTTATCAACTACCAGGGTTTCTCTTTCGATCTCAAATTATTTGTTTTGTTCGTCCCTTATATATAATAATAATTATTATATATAATTTTTGAATAATAATTAAATTAATATCTTTTTATTATTAATATACTTCTGATCATTATAATAATTAATAATAATTTAATTATCATCAAATAATTAATAATAATTATTATTGATTAATTAATTTAAGTAATAATTAATAATAATATTATTATGAATTTTTAAATACATTTCTTTCTATACACAACTATTTTGTCGATTAATATAATGATAAATTTCACTCTCACTCTCTCTCTCTCTCTATTTACTAATATAAAAATAAGAATATTAACCATAGAAAAGCAAACTGTCTTTAGTCCTGCTTTGCTTAAAAAATAATTTTTACCAAAGCAATAAAGTATAGAATATTTTTTTGTCTTATTTATAAATAGGAGCCGATACCGAAAATATCCAGAGCAAATGAAAATTACCCTGATCATCAATAATAAATATTTTCACATTACTTCAAGAAACATTTGTTTAAATTGCTTTCACCTTTTTTTTCTACAATAATAATTGTGTGACGCTTTTTTCTAATAAAATTTTTGAATTGATTACATTTTTCTGTTTTCATTAATTTCCCATTCCTGTTCCTCTGGTATAAATCATTTCATTTTTTTCAACTTGAATCATTTTTGGTGAAGGATAATTGCATAAGAATTTGGATAAAGAAAATTTTGTTTTTTTTTTCTTTAAAAAATAATCATATTGGCCATTTATTTCTTTTGTAAGGAGCACTTTTAATATATTTAATATATGATAAATATAATGCCGCAATAGCGATAAATTTAGCGAGCTTATCTTCTCTAATAGAAATGTTGGCGCATCCTTTTTCCCGATGGAGATATGCAAATTGCAAATGGTTTTCAGTAACACAGTTCTGAGTGTATACCTTGTCTATACATATACACATATGTGTATATAGTACTACTTCATGTCCGGGTGTATACATCAAACGTATGCACGTATTTTACTGGAAAATTGCCTTCCACTAAGTTCTAAAGGTTCGTTTAAGTTTCCGGGTCATAGCTCTATAAGCGTTGGACGCCCCTTTATGGATAACGGTTTATTTACCAAAGAATCACTTAAAAAATACGAATATATCAACCATTCATTTACCGCAAGAATCTTCTTTAAAAAAATGTTTTCTTAAAGTCCTTGGATCTTCATTTTTAAATCTCAGACCAAAATTGAATGTCTTTCCTGTGAAGAAGTTTTTGGCATCATATATACTTATTGATACTTCGATAACGGAAATTCGAAAAACTTTCTATTTCCTTATTTCGTTGTATTACCTGAAATCACTTGATGGAAGTGTTTCTTGACTTTTACCTTTTAGCTTTACCTACTTGATTTTCAAATTCTCCGGATGTCAACGTATTTCTTTGAAAATAATTTTCTCATATATGAAAATTTGATTATTATTGTAATTACTAACATCTATTCGGTAATAGTCACGGTTTTATTTTTTTGTGTAATTTTAGCTACTTATATGCTCTAAAAGTACCACATTTTAGTATATAAATATTTTTATAAATTTGTAAGATCCACATTCCATATCTATAATCTGATAAATTTAAAAAGACTTCCTTGAGTTTTTAACTTTTGTATCAATCCGGATATTTAATAAAACCAATTTGAAAAAGATGGCAAAAATCTGAAAATTTTACTAAATCAATAATGTAAAATTTATGAACCTCGCGAAAATCATGAATGTTACGCGCCTGTTGATCCAAGTCACGATCGTCTAAGATCGAGCAGGTTCGTGATCATTCGTTTCTCCGTGCATGCAACAGCACGTTATGCCGGCCGCATCGGATGACGTTGCCAGCAACGAAGACCTGTTTTGTGCGGCTCTCTGTTTAATTTCATTCTCACCGCGTTTCCCATCAGCTTCTATTTGACAATCTTACTACATAAATCAATACACAAAACCATATCATTTTAATTCTATTGAATCATTTGGAAATTTATCCAATATAAATTTCCTTCCTTCACAACATTTAAAATAAAAAAAAAAGTTATCCGTGATTTCAGTATAATGTACAGAAAAATCTTTTCTCGATTACGTTCAAAACCTAACCTCCATGACAGCAGTTATGGCCTACACAAGAGGGGTCGAGAGGGCAGAGGCGGTACACACTCAGTACGTACACAACCTGTGCACGCGAAA